CCAAATCAGCTGATTAGTATAAAACTAAATAGTATATGACTTCTAAATAAGTATTGTATCTACCAAAAATGAGCATTGTAAAAGATGTATTGTCCAATATTATTTCATTAATCATGAAGGTAATATTCTAAGATGAATTTTAAATAAATCATAAATAGGACTATAGATTGTTAAAAATAATTGTATTACATAAAAAGATGATTTTATTATTAAGGATGGTCATTTGGATTAGTATTCATGTTGAATTTTTGAAACGATAGTATTCATGTTGAATGAATACAAACAATAACATACACATGATCATTAACATTGGTACAAAAACTCATAATGTTTAACTAATTGATTATTGTATAGACAAGAATATTCATAAGAATATTGAAGGTAAATATATTTATTGTAAAAACTATAACAAAAATAAATGATCAACAAAAGGAAAAGGTATTAAACAAAAGAATAGCAACAGAATAACTACTTAACATCAAAGGTAGTAACCCAAAAATTGTTTACTCCAGACATACTAGTCAGCAAATGATCAATAACATGTTCTAGTTTGAGCATCCACACAAAGTTGATGAGTTATATAATAACAAAAATTAGTCTAACAATAGCAAATGAGTGAATCAGCAGTGTGACTACAATTCTATTTGAAAATCTAACTACAAACTTGTGTGCTCAGGTGCTGATGTACTAGCTTGACGTGACTTTTTCCTTGCTCTAGCTTGATTTGTTTTCACTTCAATAACACTCTTGCGACGCACATTTCTTTCACCCTTTTTCCTTGAAGTATTTGGATTAGATATTCTTGAACTCACATCAACTGAGGTAGAATCACTATCAGAGAAATAAATGCTTCCAACTTGATCTTCAACACCCAGTTTCAACTTTTTAAAAGATTCTTCACACAATTGCCTTGCTGTAGAATTAGAATCACTAGAGCACAAAAGCTTGTGAAATTTCTTCTGCATTTGCATTCTCCAAACTGAAGGTAACACATTAGAAGAATCGTCTAAAACAAAAGGTTGTTGACTTGGAAGAGACTTTGTCGTACGAGTCCACCATTTGAGTATATAACAATCCAGAATAACTTCTACACAATGAATATGATATATACGAAGAATATGACAACACAAAATACCAGCCTCTAGGAATTTATGACAAGAACAACTAACAAAATGTGTTGTTACATCAAATGAAACCCAATGTGAAAACCGATCCGTTTGAGGCATCCATACTAAATATCCCATTAAAGAACCTTGATGGTATCTAAGTTCAAATTTCAGAGACATACCTCGCATAAATTCATTCTCAAAAAGTTTATAAGCATCAATAGTATAAAGCTTGGAAGCTTTATGTAACAAACTGACATAAGGAATGACAATTTCAGGAAAACCATCCAAACAACGATGATGATCTTTGCCCTCATTACTTCTCCGATCCAATGACTGACAGCTTCACTAAAAAAATGATAGAAGTCACATAGAGAAGAGGTAGCATTCAATTTTCTAGACAAAGAGTGATTTGGGGTCTCGCTTCATTGTGAAGATAAAATGCCAGCAGAAAAGAATTCTTTTGAAAAAGCTGGACACCATTTGTCCCTCATCTCATACAGTTTGCTTAACCAAGGATTATCAGAGCAATTATATTCAGATATCATTCTGCAAAGCACAATAGATAATCATTTCACACAATTCCTTACTCATTATTGTTCTAAACAATACTCATGATTTCATGAACATAGTATTAATGTAAATGAGGAAAAAGCAAAAAATATATAATGTCAATGAAACATACCTATTCCAGTAATAATCAAATTCAACAACGGTGTGACAAAGTTTCAAAACATGATCAAACAAATCCAAGAATCCCTCTTGATTCCTTAAATCGCGTATATGTTTCTTAGAATTTTCAATGATATGCCATATACAAAGATGATGTTTGGAGAGAGGAAAAACTGTAGAAATGACAGCAGCCATGGCAACAGATTGATCTGTCATAACAGTTCTTGGGTGGACAGAACTCATAGATTGCAAAAAAGTATTGAAAAGCCATTCAAATGACTCAATTCTCTCATTTAACAAAAAGCCACAACCAAACATGCAATTATGAGTGTGAGAGTTAACACCAACAAACGGTCCACAAATCATGTCATACTTGTTGGTGCGGTAAGTGGTATCATGGATAAGCAATTCACCAAATGCAAGATAATCTTCCTTCATTTTCTTGTCTCTCAAAAAAAACTAACCAAATTACCATCCATATCAACCTCAAAAGAAAAGAAAAAATCATCTTCATTTGCCTGTCTGTTCTTAAAAGTATTAATCAATGTGTTTGCATCACAACCATCAAATGATTTTTTAATCTTTTTTGTCAACTCATTATAAGCGTCACGCAAAAGAAAACCAACAGCAGGAGATCCACCAGCTTCTGCTTGCAAGCAACGAAAACCATCTGCTACTTTAACTCCTTTATTTTTCAAATGTTGCAAATACTCTAATTCATTTGACGAAACAGCACGATAGACCTAACATGATGAACTAAAGAACTCGAGAAAAAATTGTGATTATGAACCATATCATGCCTAACAACAACAAACTCACCAGTAGACTTTATCTCGAAATATATTTTTGCCTTGGAACCAGTTCGCCTATCAACTTTTGTATATTGTTTACCTACAACACCTTTATTCCTTTTTACACCTTGTTTCGTGCAACAAAATTCCATTCCCCTAAAGCCAGAACCACCACCTCTCTTTCTTAAAGTAGAATAACGAACACCAAATCCAATTCTGTAAGCGTACTCATTATATAGCTCAAATGCCTCTTTATCTGAAAAAACTGTTTTACCCAATAACTCATAAATTTCAGCTTCCTTAATTGAGATTGTTTCAACACACAAAGGCTCATCAGATTGATCTATATGAACAAAAGTAGAAGAATTTTGAACTAACAAAAAAATAAAATTAAAATTTGAAAACAAAAAAAATAACAAAGTGATAAAATGTAAGAAAACACAATACTTGGTAGCACAGGAACAGAGTCAGTTCTAGACAAAAAATCTTCACTTAACGTATCACCGGAGGCCAAGTAATCTGAATCAATAAAAAATACAAAAGTAAATATCAAATAGCTCAAAGTAAATAACACACAGAAAACAACAACAATATGTGACTTGTAAGGAGAGAAAATATTACTGCAATCAACTTCAAAAAGTTTGCCTCTGACCTCAATATCCTCTATTAATTTGCCACTGCAAGACAGGTCATCTAGACAGGGGATAACAATTCAAAAAAAAAGATGATCATTACTAAGTAACATAATACTCATCAAATATAATGAAGGTGTTATTTGAAAAATTACCTCCACAACTAGACATAACATCAATTCTTGGATAAAAATATGGTGCAACATAAAACATTTGAACTGAATGAAAACAATGATTTTGTTCCAACGAGAGAAGAAAATAACCTAAGAACAATTACTTACTTACACCTTCAGTGGACAAAAACAAATGCAAAAAAACTAAACCTGCGCAAGAACAAATGGAAGTAAATAATAAAGATGAGGAAGTAAGTACAGAAACTAAGATCGAAGATGGAAACAACAAAGAAGAAAAATTGATTAAGACAATAAGATATTGTAGTTTTCCAAAGTGGAGAAAATATGAAGCAAAATAAAGATTGAATGCGGTAGAGAAGAAATATTACTCGCATTCAGGGCCGGCCCTGGGCCTGTCTGCCCAGCCCAACCGCACAGGGCCCGGTATTTTGGAGGGCCCAAAAAAAAATTAGTATTACCCCCAGCCCATAAGTTTTTAGCCCAAATCAATTCCCCCAGGCCTCAAATCGGCAAATCCCCCCTTCTCCTGCTCGGCTGCTCGTTGCTCTTCACGACAAAGCGACACCGCCTCTCCATAGGATCACAAACGACGAGGCGACGACTCCAGCCTCTAACGCACACCGTCGGCGCCTCTCCACAACCGACGGCCCCAAATCCCCTGCCAGCCCTGCGCAGTCCGACATCCCCTCGGCCCTCGGCCCTCTCCTGCTCTCCACGACTCGAACGCTGAACGCACACCTCACTCCGCAGCAGCCCGCAGCCGACCGCCTCCGCCGCCCTCCGGCCTCCCTCAGACGCCCTCCTTCCGGTCAGTTGCTAATTTGCTAATTCTTTTATTCATTTAGTTGCTAATTTGCTAAGTCTTGTGAACTTTCGATTTATTGAATATTTGAATTGATGAATTGTTTGTTGAAATCTTGTAATTTGTTTATTTTCAAATTTAATGTTTGTTGAATTGTTGTGTTGTTGTTATTTGTTGATTTTTTTCATTTAAAGTAAATCATTATTTGAATTGATAATAAATGTGTAATTTTGTAAATGTGTTTAGCAATTAAAATTGATAACTTTAGGTTGATAAATTGGTAACTTGAGGTTGATAAATTATAATTATACACTAATATAGTCATTCATGCTTTCACCCTAATTTTAAACTGAATATTAATTTAAAATTTATAAACATGTACAGGATTATAGGAAAATTTCAAAAATTGGTAATAATTATGTTTTCATTAATAAACATGTAAGTTATTAATGACTTTTTTCATTTTAATTATTACGTTTATTAGTAACTTGTATTGTAAGACAATTTGCTTGCATTTAAACTTGAAAAAAGGCCCAAATTTTATTGTTGCACAGGGCTTCCGTTTTCTCGGGACCGGCCCTGCTCGCATTGATGACCAAACGGAATCTTCACCTGGAAAGATTGAATGCGATAGAGAAGAAAGAGACAAACGAAAAAAACCTAGGAGAAGAGGACGGACCAGCACCAACGAAGAGGACGGACCAACAAGGACAAAGAGGACGAACCAGCGCGGACGAAGGGAACGGACCAGCAAGGACGAAGATCAGATTAAACAAGAAGCCTCAAAGTTGCGGTTAATTACAAAAAAAAACTCAACTGTACCATGACCATGGTACAACCACCGTGCCATGACCATAGTACAGCTGGCATCGGATCTCCTGTATTTAACCCCGGCCCAGTACTATCATACAAATCTGGTAGTGGAACCCCCAAAGCTCAAAGTTTCCGGGTTGAAAATTGGAGCAGCTGGCATCGGATCTCCTGTATTTTGTCGGAATGAGCTTGACTCTTCTGCAAAGCTACTCTTCCGCCGAGGAAGACGAAGGAGATGTACAAGAACAATCGGACTACGACAAATCCGAGGACGAAGAGGATGGCCAGAACTACGTCGTTTCACACAACCGTTACAGGCCTCTCGTAGACCCCTCCCCTTCTTCGTCTTCCTACCTTCCCTCTGCTCTCGACGCATTTTCCGAGGTGATCTCTGCGTTACTTCTCTTCAAGTTGATTCTCTTGGTCAATCGTACGTTATCCAATTCAGTTTTATCTTCGGCTCTTATGCCTATTGATGAATCTTCCACAGGTTTCCGGACCTCCGGAGTTCTTAAACAACAGTATAGATTCTGAAGCTGCGAGTGATGCAGGCAACCAACGCATCCGGCATGGTCGCCGTAAGAGCACCAGAGATAAGAAAGATTTACCTTCTGGTAATCATTTTAAGTAATTGCTTTTATAATGAATAAGTTACTTTGTAACGAAGTTTGAGCTATATGTCAATTTATATTTAGCCGTGATCTATATTATTTGGCAAGTTGCATTCTTTACAGCTAATTCTGCAGATTAAGAAATGTGTTCGTGCAACTGGACTATATATAGCTTATTTCGGCTTGCAAATTGTTAAATATGTTCAAATAGAATTCAAGTATCCTAACGTGTTTCTTTTTTACAAATTAACACAGTTGAATGGACCAACCCAAAATCATGTTTCAATTATTGCAGCAATAAAGAACTATAGAAGAAAATTGTATGTTTCATTAACAATTTAATATGGAACATCATTCACCAAAGTTTTTGCATTGAGGCTCTGTTTACAGGCGAGGTTTAAAGATTTTCTTGTGGTTGGCAACTTGGCAAATGAATATCTTCCAGGAAAATGTTTGTGTGTTTGAAACCGGGTCCTTGATTTTTTCAACATTTGTGAACACTTAAAACAGTTTTATGTTTTCTATTTTTTTGGGTAAAAATTATGCTATACATAGAACACCATATTTTTTTCCATCATTTGCAATGGAGCCAAAAACTCACTATTTTTTGGCTTGGGAATGTAAAAGTATTATTGTATCTAGGAATATGTTTTAGGAATATGCTCTAGAATATGCTTTAGGAATATACTCTAGACATTATTATTGTATAGCATCTTATATAGGAATATTCCATCTTTGTAATATATATATATATATATAGGGCCTTAACCCTCTAATGAAAAACACAGAAAATCCTTCTCTCCATCTTTAATAGCATTGTAGTTTATATTTCAACATGGTATCAGAGCCTTCCATTTTAGTTTAGTTTTTCATATTTCAGTTTAATTTTCAGACTGGATTCTTCCTTCAAGGAACTTGAGTTCAGTTTTATCAGATTCTTCATAACCTCTAGGCACCATTCTAATTTCCCAGAAAATCAATTAGCCTGAGCTAATTTCCTAGAAAATTCCTTAGCATACAGTCTGCCCCACCAGACCTAAGAAATTCTCAGACCACACATTTCATCACCACCGTACCCAGGTGGTGCGGCTACCTTCGACGACCCAGAAACCAAAGTCCGACACCCAAACTCTACGCGACTGAGACGTACGCGCTGCCACAGCTCGCTGACCTCAACTCACGTGCCGGCACGTGACGTCATTCTGCGGCCAGATTTCGGATCGGAAAACGCCATCCAGCTCGCCTGCATATCGCCTATCTTCTGCTGTAGCTTCTCTTTGGGATGGTTGCGTTTCTTTCCAGCTCTTCAGTACGCTAACATCGAAAAGAGATCGTCCAGGCTACGCGGAAATCTTTTCTTCCTTCCAGGCTTCGTAACGGACATACGCACGCTCCTTTGTCTGGCTGTTCTTCTTTGAGGTCTGGCACTCTAGCATCGACCCTCCGTCTGGATTAGCAGTCAAAGCCCAAACAGTTGGATCTTTTACTCTCCAGGTTGAGTCCACAAACGGGCTGCTCAGTCAAAGCCCAACTTTATTCTCCAAGGTCGAGTCCACAAATGGGCTGCTGTAAGTTCTCATTGGATATCTCAATTTTGAACTTAATTACATTCTCATTAAAAAAAACAAAAAAAAAAAATAATAATAATAAAAAAAAAGAAATTAAAAAAAAATGTCTTGTACGAGTGGATTTGACAGAGGAGTAATATGCAATTACTGTAAGAAGCCCGGACACTTGATCAAAGAATGTAGAAAATTGTTGTTCAAAAATCAAGGAAATCAGCTTGCTCATGTTGCTTCCGCTACCAGTTCATCCGATGGATCAATTGCTATTTCTTCAGACGAGTATGCCAAATTTATTTGCTACCAAGAAACTCTAAAGCATTCCTCTGTCCCTATCTCGGTAACCGCTAATTCAGGTATTTCAAACACGTGTCTTGTTTCCTCATCCTCGAAATGGGTCATTGACTCAGGTGCCACAGATCATATGACCGGTAATCCTAGTCTATTCTCGTCATTTCATTCATATTTACCTACTTCTAGTGTCACTTTAGCTGATGGATCTACCTCACCCGTTCTTGGATCTGGTACTGTTGTTCCAACTTCTACATTACCATTATCGCCTGTTTTGAGTCTTCCTAATTTTGCATTTAATCTGCTTTCCATCAGTAAAATCACTCGTACTCTTAACTGTTCTGTAACATTTTTTCCGGGATATTGTGTGTTTCAGGATCTGTTAACGATGCAGATTATTGGTAAAGGACATGAGTCAGCCGGTCTATATATTTTGGATACATCCATCACCAAAGATATCTCTTGTCTTGGGGTTGGGACTTTGTTAGATGCTCATTACCGATTAGGACATCCATCTCTCCCATTAATGAAGCAAATAAATCCCCAATTTAATAAGATGACCTCTTTACAATGTGAGTCATGTCAATTTGTGAAACACCATCGTACTAGCTTAGGCCCGCGAGTTAATAAACGAGCAAATGCTCCATTTGACCTTGTTCACTCTGATGTTTGGGGTGCTTGCCCGGTTGTGTCTAAAGCTGGTTTTAAATATTTTGTTACCTTTGTTGACGACTATTCTCGTATGACATGGTTGTATTTCATGAAACGTCGATCTGAGTTGTTCACTCATTTTTCTTCCTTTTGTGCTGAAATTAAAACTCAGTTTAACGTTCCTGTTCGGGTGTTAAGAGGAGACAATGCCCAAGAATATCTATCTGCTACATTTAAGTCATTTATGCTTCAACATGGCATTATTCATCAAACTTCATGCGTTGATACACCTCCTCAAAATGGAGTTGCGGAACGAAAGAACCGACATCTGTTAGAAACTGCAAGGGCTCTTCTATTCCAAATGAATGTGCCTAAACAGTTTTGGGCAGATGCCGTGTCTACTGCATGTTTTTTGATAAATCGAATGCCATCTTCTGTTTTGAATGGTAAAGCTCCTTATCATTGTCTATTTCCAAACAGAGAGCTTTTTCCTATCCCACCTAAAATATTTGGTTGCACTTGTTTTGTTAGAGATGTTAATCCTCATCTAACAAAGTTAGATCCGAAATCATTAAAATGTATTTTCTTGGGTTATTCTCGAGTCCAAAAGGGGTATAGATGTTTTTGTCCGAGTACTGGTCGGTATCTTGTTTCTATTGATGCATCATTTCATGAAAATACACCTTTTTCATCATCTAAAGCAGATATTCGTGAGAGTAATGATGATATTCTCATTTACACGATGACTATTCCTGAGTCCACACTTTCGACAAATATTCCACAAGTTACTGTTCATGACCCTAGGCCTCCCGTACATTTGGTATACACCCGTCGACACAAAGCACCTGATCACCCTCCACCGGCGATACCTGAGATTACTTTTCTTGATACTAGTTCGACTCCGATCTCATGTCCTGAACCAGTATCTGCATCTTCAGATCTTGTTTCCACATCAGATCTTGATCTCCCAATAGCAGTACGTAAAGGTACACGGTCTTGTACTCATCCTATTTCTTCATTTGTGTCGTACAATCAGTTATCTCCTGCTTCATGTTCTTTTATTGCTTCCATTGATTCTATTTCTGTTCCCAAATCTGTCAAAGAAGCTCTGTCTCATCCTGAATGGCGTCAAGCCATGGTAGAGGAAATGAATGCTTTAGATCTTAATGGTACATGGGATTTGGTTGACTTACCTACAGGGAAGAAATCTATTGGATGTAAGTGGGTCTTTGCTGTTAAGGTTAACCCAGACGGATCCGTTGCTCGGTTGAAAGCCCGATTAGTTGCGAAGGGTTATGCTCAAACCTATGGTGTTGATTATTCTAACACTTTTTCTCCTGTTGCTAAATTAACATCTGTCATGTTACTTATCTCACTCGCTGCAATTCATGATTGGCACTTACATCAATTGGACATTAAAAATGCATTTTTGAATGGTGACCTTAAGGAAGAAGTCTATATTGAGCAACCTCCGGGATTTGTTGCTCAGGGGGAGTATGGTAAAGTTTGTCGACTTCGCAAATCTCTTTATGGTCTGAAACAGAGTCCTCGTGCATGGTTTGGGAAATTCAGTCAATCAATTGAACAATTTGGAATGATAAAAGGCAAATCAGACCACTCTGTATTTTACAAACAAATAGAATCAGGTGTCACATTGCTTGTGGTATATGTTGATGATATTGTGATTACAGGGAGTGATAATGCAGGTATTTTGGCCCTTAAGAATTTTCTGCATAGTCAATTCCAGACGAAAGATCTTGGCTCTTTGAAATACTTTCTGGGAATTGAGGTAACACGAAGTAAGAAAGGCATATTTCTATCTCAACGTAAATATGTACTTGACTTACTAGCTGAGACAGGGAAATTAGGGGCAAAACCAAGTACAACACCCATGGTTCCCAACGTGCAACTCACTCAAGAAGGCACACCGTTTGAAGACCCAGAAAGATATAGAAGACTGGTTGGAAAGCTTAATTATCTCGCAGTCACCCGTCCAGATATTGCTTATTCTGTGAGTGTAGTGAGTCAATACATGTCATCTCTGACCATTGATCATTGGGCTGCTGTAGAACACATATTATGTTACTTAAAGGGAGCACCATGACGAGGTATTGTTTATCAAAACCATGATCACATGAGAATAGAATGCTTTGCAGATGCTGATTGGGCCGGTTCTAAAGATGATCGAAGATCTACATCTGGCTATTGTGTCTTTGTTGGTGGTAATCTTGTATCCTGGAAGAGTAAGAAACAGAATGTGGTTTCTCGTTCTAGTGCTGAATCAGAATATCGAGCTATGGCACAATCCCCATGTGAGATAATATGGATACACCATTTATTGAATGAAATTGGATTGAAGACACCAATGCCTGCTCAGTTGTGGTGCGATAACCAAGCTGCTATACACATAGCAAACAACCCCGTATTTCACGAGAGAACAAAGCATATTGAGGTTGATTGCCATTTTATTCGAGAGAAGATACAAAAAGGATTAATCTCTACCGGGTATGTGAAGACTGGAGAACAACTTGGAGATTTATTCACTAAAGCTCTAAATGGGATTCGAGTTGATTACTTATGTAACAAGTTGGGCATGATAAATATCTATGCTCCAACTTGAGGGGGAGTGTAAAAGTATTATTGTATCTAGGAATATGTTTTAGGAATATGCTCTAGAATATGCTTTAGGAATATACTCTAGACATTATTATTGTATAGCATCTTATATAGGAATATTCCATCTTTGTAATATATATATATATAGGGCCTTAACCCTCTAATGAAAAACACAGAAAATCCTTCTCTCCATCTGTAATAGCATTGTAGTTTATATTTCAACAGGGAATATGATGAAATAAAACAAAACAGCTCACTAAACTGTCTGCGCTTCTTTGTTATGAAGCAGCAATCAGTCCATTCAATTTTCGATGCGTTTTTCACCACGGGTCATCCTGAAACAGACTCTCTGAGGTAAGGCTGTGTACATCCGACCCCCTTACACCATCGTAGGTGAGAGCCTTTGCGGCGCTGGGGTAATGACGATGATGATGATGACATACAACACCATATATTATTTGACAGATGTGTGTCGTAGATGCTGAATAGTTGTTTTGCTTCCATTTGTTTTTATCTGGCTTTCAGTGTACACAAACGTTCATTTTAGTTTATCATGTCTCAAGGTGCTATTGTTGAGGCTAAAGCTCATTTAGTTGGGGTCCATGAGAGAGTCAGAAGTGATGTTGAAGGTAGCATACCGAAGACGTCCACTGCACAAAAAATTCTTTCTCCAGCCACTGCACAAGGAGTCAACCCTAGTGTGACAAACCCAAATGCAGAAGTTGCATCAGAGCTTCTGAGGTATGTACTTTTGCCATTATTTATGCGCTACGTTATGTTTAGAATGCGGGGAAGGCAGGTAAAGGAAAACAGTGGCAAGGAAAGCAGTTTTTTTTAGTATTTGGTTATTCCTTGACAACTGAGGGGAAATTCAAATTCATATTTTTTACAAAAAAAACATATTTTAGAATTTATTAGCATTTGCATAATAGAGATATTAAAATAAAATGATTCTGTACAAGTATCAAACATTAATTCAATGATTTTGAACCAAATTCCCCCCCAAAGTTTGAACCGATTTTTTAGTTTTTCCCCAATATTTTTCGTTCCAAATTTCCTTCTCATTTCGAACCTTTCCCATGGGTGCTAATACAATAGAGTTGATACTGTGGATTGCTACATGAGATCTACTAAATGCTTAGACGTCATTCATGTCACATTCTAGATATATCCATCATTGTGCTGCAAATCAAAATGGGGTGTGTTCTTGGTAATACTATCAGCACATATTTATGTGAGGCCTTGTTTGGTTTGGGGATTTGTAGTGACTTCAAGGGGAGGTGATATGTGCTTTTCATAACCTATTCTGATGGGAAAGGTATAGAGCAGTACACAATTATTTTACTAAATATAACCATAGGTATATAAATAGTACTACCCCTGTGCCCTGTCCCACTAACATTGAGACATAAGGAGGTGGTCGCACTAACATTGAGACATAAGGAGGTGGTGCATTTATTAAAAAAAGTGGGTTTGTGTGGTTAATATTGAATTGATAACGTAAAAATGAAGTAGGAATGATTTAAAACCATGCAAACTTTACCAAAATTGGTATGGGACAATCTTAGTTGGACGGACCAAAAAAGAAAGATGGGGCAATCTTAGGAGGACGGAGGGAGTAGTTAGTTTCTAGTCGAAGACTAATAAGCACTTTGTCCTTTAAAAGCATGATGTAATATCTGGGATGCATCTCTTCATTTGTATTGATATAAGTTCTATAACTATAAATATCATTTTACTCTTCTACTCAGCTTTGAACCTGGAAGATTTCCGGTTTTAGACTTTTAGCAAATAGACTCCATTCACTAGTTGTTCTGTCGTCCCTTGTTGTAAGATCCATGCTTTTTTAGGGACATAAATATTGAGGCGGGGAAGAAAAAGGGATCAACCATCAAAGACAAGGAGAAGAGTAAGAGGATAAAGGGTCAGTCATCGCATGCTTCATGGAAGAGCGAGACAGAGATGGTCTTGCGCCAGCAGTTCGATTAGCGGCTTGCATTTAGGTTATTGAGGTGACACTAAAAAGAATTTCGACATTTAAGCAAGATCAGCCGAGCTCACTAGTCACTACTATATATGTACAACACCATGTTTTATGGAGAAGGTGAAGCTGAGGGAAAACATACATGTGGAAAATGTTGAACATGTTATTGCGTTTAAATGTGAACTAGTCTCTATTAATCTAAATTTGTTTGACTCCTTTTTTTCCTTTCTATTTATTGTGTTTAATGTCATATGCCAATTCATGTTAATTGGCACCAAATTCTTTTGGAATTTAGGTATGGATGTTGTTGATGTTGAACGGACACATATTTGCTACTCCCTCCGTTCCTAAAAATTCTTCCCGGTTTGACTTGGCACGCTTATTAAGAAATTGGAATAAAGTGGAAATGTATGATTGTGGTTGTGTAAGAAAAAAGTAAAATGAATGTGAGCCACACAAATTGTCCAAAATGGGAAAGTGAGAAGTATTTTTGGGAACGGTCTAAAAAAGAAAGTGGGAAGTATTTTTGGGAACGGAGGGAGTATTAGAAACCATTTTTTGACGTTAAATGCCCGTTTGGTAACATTTAAATTAGTTGAATTTGCTGAAACGGATTAAATGCTGATCGGATTGAATTGCCTGAATGAGTTAAATAATGGAAAAAATGTATTTGAAATATATTTTATTAATAATTAACAATTTAAAGAAAATAATAATACGAAAATAGCTAAAACCGTTTTCAACTTCAACTAAAATTGTTCTCCAAAGTACCTTTAGCTAATTCAGTCAAAACAATTTTTTAATTTTATTTATTTTGATTATTACATAGCTTGGTGTGAAAATTCAAAAAAGTAGAAGTGATCAAATAATACTAAAATAAAAAAAGAGTATTTTGAATATGCTTTGATTGATTAGTAGAAGACTAGAAGTGTTTGCAACTCGTAAGCATGGGCTATTTCTGATATTGACGGATTGATGTTTCCACATTTTTTCGATACAAGGATCCTTGGTAGAGTTGTATACCGTCCAGACATTAATTTCCCTTACACCATATAATCAGTGATATTTTTGTAATTTAAATAAAAATCATGGCTTCTGTTAAATAGACATTAATGCACTCTTAGTGTATGTTTGAGAGGCAAAAGTTCATACCTTATAATTTTTGTGTTATTTAAAAGTCTTTATAAGCTTCTAGTTGTATGTTTGTCATAACAACATTTAAGAGTTTTTTCAAAAAAAATTAGAAACCACAGCCTATGATGAGTAACATCTAAGAAAGTATGTAGTTTTTAGCATTAATTAGTCATAACAGCTTTTCATACCAAATGTAACTAAATCAAACAGTCACCTTTTTATCAAACAACTACTACCTCCGTTCCCATTTTAACTTCCAAATGGGTTTGACACAAAGTTTAAGATAGTGGATATTGTGTGGTGGAGAGTTGTGCAGAGGAGAGAGAAATGTGTAAGAAATGTTGTGAACCACAAATTCTTTACCAAAAAAGGAAAGTGGAAGTTTTAATTGGAACGGACGAAAAATGAAATTGGAATGGAGGGAGTACAACTTTTTTCTTTTAAGATCTTTTCAGTCACTAAAAGATAAAAGTTACTAAAAAGTTTATAAAAGTATTTTTTCAACTAGTTGTGCACTTGTGCCAAACATACCCTCAGTGAGCATCGAGCTTAATCTGTTGAGTATCAGGAGTCTAATATTGAGCATTGGTTGCATCGTGATCTGCGTTTCATATCTTGTAATTCACTTTCTTCTTTTTTTAAAAAAAAAATCTATTATGAACAAGTATGAGTCCAATATGTGAATACCAATATCAAATGAGCATCGGCTCATTTGCCAAGTATTTCAAGATATTAACATAGATATTTTTAATCTAGTGTAAAACTTTGTCAAGTTTGATCGGCACGGAGATTAATAAGTAAAAACTGTGTGGTTGAGGTTTGTGCAGAGGAGAGAGAATTAACTGAAACCACAAATTCTTTACTTAAAAGGGAAAGTGGTAAAGTTAGTGGGACATCCAAAAAAGGAAAGTTGACAAAGTTTTAAGGAACGAAAGTAGTATTATACTCTTGAAATACGGAGTATCCACGAATATGATCTTTTAAAATGAGTATTACACCAATATCAAATGAGTACACATAACTTAAGGAATAAGCTTCAGAAAATTCAAAAGCTCATTTAAATTATTTAGTATGCTCAAATATTCATTTGTGTACGCACTTGTATTGGGCAAATGAAACTGCACTTAAGGTAAGCAAATAGCGTTGGGCACAAAAGGCAAGCAACAAAGGGGAATCGAGTGTCTCCCAGTGGTTCCCGAGTCGTAACAAAATTTGTTGAGTTACCAGTCCTCTGTCACCAATGCCACCTCTAGCTTCGGCTGCTCAATTGAAGAAGCCACTGCAACTCTGTTATTTTCATGTTATTTTGCTCGATTGCTTCATTTTTCCATCATTCCCATACTTGAAATTTTTGCCTACGGTTTTACTAAATCTTTATTTCATACTCGTATTTAAGTAATTATCATTGAATAGGTTTGCACTTTGCAGCTGTTTGCTGATGTATTATATCCTTGTTGAATATAAATTAGAAGCTACGCACAACAAGCATATGTATGGAAAGGGAGTGTACTTTAATTAGTTTAGAATCATATTTTGTTTTCATTCTCAATATTGACGGGTGGAATTTAAAATGTAAGGTTGATGTAGGATAAGCCAAAAATATGTGTGGGGCAACACTAGAAGAATAGAAGATTGTGATATTAACCACTAAAGGTGATTTAGTTTTGGAAAAATTGAAAATAATAATCTCAACTATTGTCGGTCTGCTGATAATAATCCTAACTATTGATTATTTTTGTATAAACCCAACTATACGGATCGTCCGCCAATAATGGTCCATGGTCAGATATTACCTCCTATAAAAAGTGAATTGTAAATAGAAATTAAGTGTAAAAATTAAAAGTTGAGATTATTTATAGGGATTACTTGCTATATCACTCCTCACCCACTTTAGAAACTACATAAATTTATTTATAGGGATCACTATTGGCGGAAGGTTCCTAAAGTTGAGATTATTCTAAAATAATCGATAGTTTGGATTATTATGAGCGGACCGCCAATAGTTGGGATTATTACTATCAATTTTTCCTTTATTTTTTTGTTGATGATGTAATCTTCTTCTCAATTGAGTATTAAAACAGTAGGTTTGAGTAATAATTTCATCCCAATTAAAGTTATTGAAAATATTTATATTTTCTAAATAAACTAAGTTTTACGGATTGAAGGTTATTAAATTTAGGACTTCTTATCGTTGTTTGCAATGACATGTAAAAGTACACTTGTAATAACTTTAGGCATATAAGTTTTGCTTTAGTAATATTTTAGGAAAAACACCTTTCATAGACAATACTAATGTGATTTTTACACTAATTTTTACCTTAATAATTTTCACACTATTCTTTTACCTTAATACGGAATAATATTTTGCTTAAGAGTGGCGTAGGCAGAGCGGTATGCTCGACTTTACTAGTATAAAGACTTTTTTTTTAAATTACACTAATATTTTTCTCACTCTTCTATGTGTACTTGACTGTGGGATGTCGCTAGGTAGCATGAATGAGGGTTTATATGATAATTTACCATATAGTAGTTACCCGTGCATGTTACATGTGACAATTGTGGTACAACTTCTAGGCTTGGTGCATACTTCTCACTGATATGGTGCAGTTTAGGATGCATTGACCTCTACATGCTTCTCCGCAGATCAAAGGTATGTCCAGGCTTGTATTCATTCTTTAAGGGGTTTTAAATGATTTGTTTTCTTACATGGGGAAATTATATCAGCTCTTATAATTAAACTTCTTTGTAACAGTAACTTAATATATTTCGTGAAACATCCTAGCTATTATAGCATTAATAGTCCCCGCCTCTATCACCTATGTTAACATTTATTACCCTTAGCTATGCTAAGGGGCCATCTCCTAAATCAGATATGTATGGGGGAAGTGTATTATAAAACTATAAAAGTATATCTCTATGCCCACCATTATACAAAATCCAGTTGTATGTATGATTATACCATGTTAGGTGCAATGGCTATTACAAATGATATTGCTGCTTCAGTAAACCTTTGGTCCGTGCATCATGTTTCTGTAGGATCCAGGTCTCTCTAAATGACTAGCAATTGCCATAACAATTCTTTGTACTTAGACATTTGGTAATCGTGCCCTTTTCATGATTATTAGAGCATGTTTATCAGAAGCATTTGCTAATATATAGAAACATTATTTTATCAGAAGTGTGTCTTTCCTCATTTCTCACCCCCTTTGCAAGTGGTTGTCATTAAATAGCTTCAACCTTTACTGAGATGTCAAATATAATAGATCTACTTGAGCTTTATCTGCTAAGGTCCCTGTACGTGTGATCTGCAAACCTGGGTCATTATTGTTGGGAGCTATAGTGAGTTTTGACACTACAGAAACCTTGGCTATTATGCTCTATTTTTTGTTTTGAAAAACGACATCTTATGCCTTTTCATTACATGCTTTTATGTACTCTTTACTAGAATAATTGACAATGGCTCATTATAAATATAATTGTACTTTGACCTTTTTTGCCCGAAAGAACCACCTTTAACAGTGGGGAAAGTGTCCAGTGCATTTTTCAGTTTTTTATTTAAAAGATGGGATATACATAAAATTAAAGGAGGAGGACTGTAGCCTGTCCCCCTTAAAACGACGCAACAAAGGATAAAGAGAGGAATGACAAGTCGACCCGTTAAACATAGTAGTCCAAAATTGAGGAATGTAAACTCTGCTGCTGACGGAATACTTCCAAATTCGAAGGAAGCCTAAAATATTCCTCAATTTTCGTTTGAGACAGGCATGCGTCCTCTGGTGTCCGCTGCTGTCAATCAGTGAGATTTTCCGCTTATGATGTTGATTCTTTATGTTTTTCTCAACTTTAAATTGTATCCTCAAGAAGTTTTCACCATTTTGGTCTTGCATGTATGCCCTTTTCGCTGGACCAGGGAGGTTTTTTATGCCGAAACCAGAGAGGTGTGTCCTGAGAAGACCATTCAGGGCGAGGTGGTGAGCAACTTGGTTAACTTCCCTTGGCCTATGCACGAACCTGATGTTTTTGTTGTTTTGCAGTTGGATCAATCTTTGTATTGTGTGTACCCGGTAATCCAGTGTGGTGCTTTTGCCTTGAATCATTGTTAACGACTTTTCTGAGTCCATCTGCACCTGAGAAGAAGAGTAACCTTTCTGTATCATGTTTGTTATTGAGGTGTCCATCGCCATGACCTCCGCATGCAGTGGGTCCAGTGTTTGGACAGGGAAGCTGATTGCCTGGTGAAGGGTTCCCTTTTGAGCCCCTGAGGATTGCCCCCTTGCACTTCCTTTGTCTCAGAATGAGAATGAGCCCTTCTGGTAAGTTAGTTTTCCATTTGAGAAACAATGTTTGGTGTTTGTCTTAGAAGAGGCATGCATTAGTCTGTCGTTGTACATCTCTATGTCGAATTTGATAAATTTCTTCTTGGTGTTGTTGTAGCACCAGTTATGACAATTTTTTTCCCCTATGATTGTGTGTGGTAGTGAAAAAGACTTGTTGTCCCAAGTGATTGAA